AGTCCAGCCTGAATTGCATAGTGAAACCCTGTCTCAAAAGGCAAAAAGAAAAAAGAAAAAAATTCCCTCAATAATAAAATAAATAGACAAAATAAAGGACACCCACAGTGGAACACTCTCACAGTTAAAAAAAAAAAAAAAAAAAAAACTACTGGTACACGCAGCAACTTGGAAGAAACTAAAAAGTAATGAGTGAGGGGGCTGGGGATTTAGCTCAGCGGCAAAAGTGCCTGCCTGGCAAGCGCAAGGTCATGATTTCGGTTCCCCGTACCGGAGAAAAACCAAAAAATAAAAAATAAAAATAAAAATAAATAAAAAAAATAAAAAGTAATGAGTGAAAGTAGCTAGGCACAAAACAAAAAACTAGTTGGTTACCTCAGTGATATTGCCCAGGAAATGTATGGGGTTTTAGAAATACAAGAGTTTTGGTCTGTGTGATGGATATGTAAGTGTGTATCAACATAAAAATCTACTGAGCTGGGCATGTTGACAGAGGTCTGTAATTCCAGCACTTTAGAAGGCCTAAGGAATTTAGCAGCTTAGTAAAACCATCTCAAAATGGAAAATAAAAGGGCTGGGGATGTAGCTTAGTGTGAAGTTCCAGGTTCAATCTCTAGTACCAATAAATATGATAAGGATGTAGCTCTATGGCAGAGTACTCACGTGTTTGACCCTCAATACCACAAAGGGGAGAAGATAGGGAGAGAAATTTTAAGACAAATTTATTCTCGTCATTCTGGAGGTGGGAAGTATGAAATTAGTGTCACTGAACAAACTCAGCAGTTACTCTGTGAGAGGCTCCAAAAGATAATTCATTTGCTGCCTCCTCCAGCTTCTGGTGGTTGCTATCGTTCTTTGGTTTATGACAGTGTAACTCCAATCTTTGCCTTGTTGGTCACATCACTTTCTTCTTTTCTGTGTGGATAATCCTTGCTTCTCTGCCTCTCTCTAGTAAATACATGTAATTGCACACATAATCAAGAGTAATCTCATCTCCAGAGGCTTAAGTATCACTGCAAATACTTGTTCTAACAAGGTAACAATTACAGGGTCTAGGGATTAGGACCTGGCCTCTTTAGAAGCCATTTTTTCATCCTACCACACCACTGTCCTAACCTTTAGTCAAAACCTTGGGCTCCACTCCAATCTTAAATTCATTCCTTAAACCCCAGCACCATAAGAATAGTTGCACCAACTGGCATGAGCCAGAGCACCCGCATTAGTAACTGAGGCAATGGAAACAGAATAAGGCCATGTGTCTCCAATCCACTGGGGACCATCCCCTGAAGCTGAGACTGAGAGGCAACCACACCTATGGCTTCCCAGAAGGGTTACTGGAGTGTTCATGGGGAAGGAAGAGTGGGAGTACCTCACAGCTGAAGATCTCACTCTGAGATTGAGGTGCTGCCTTCTTTCCTGAACACAAGGGGGAGCTCACACTCCACCTTCACACTCCCTGGTGCCAACTTGGCTTTCCAGCACTCACTGGAACTCCTACCAGGGTCCCCATCTTCTGCTTTCTCCCTAGAAACTGACTCTTCATTCCACATCTCTATTAGAAAATGCAGAAATATCCAGCCAAGAAATTTATTTTTCTAGACCTTCCAGAAGAAAAGCATCCCTACTGACACCTTGATTTTTGTCCAATAAGCAAATTTTGAACCTTTCACTTCCAGAGCTGTGAAATAATTTGTTCTTATTTAAAGCCACCCAATTTTGATATCTGTTACAGTGATAACTGAAAGCAAATACAGTCATGTCAACTTCATCAGTCAAATGTTGCACATTTCCCTGCGATACTGTGAACTGGGCCTTGAGGCCATGAAGACCTAAGCCTTGGACTAACTGAGACAATACACTGAGCAGGGCTGAGACCAAAGATGAACAACATCTAGCGGCAGGCCACAGATGAGCCTAGGAACCAGCCCTGGAGGGCCCTGCCTCTGGATTTCACACAATTTAAGACAAAGTGGTGGTACATTCCATTACCTGTGGCCAAAAAAAATATCTTACATGATGAGCATCCCTTGTTACCCACCAGTCATGCTGAGTCAGGATCTGGGCATGCTAGAGGCAACCCTCACAGATGACCAGGCCCTCCAGGCAGGCTGACCCTCACTAGCCTGACTCAGAATCACTCCCTGGGACGAAGATACCACAAAGCAGAGACTCACTGTGTTCAGTAGGAATGGCCAAGGAAACCTCAGCTGCAATCTCAGGGGCACAGCCATGGGGTTGCAGGTGACAAAAAGATAATAACCCAGAGTCCCAAGAGTCTGGAGGGAAATCAAGCTGCAGGAAGCAGTGAGAAGCAGTTTTTTTTCTATGCTACTGGGAATTAAACCCAGGGCCTTTGCAGTGAGCTACATCCCCAGCCATTCTTAATTTTTTTTTTTTTTAATTTTGAGCCAGGGTCTCACTAAATCACCAAGTTGCCCAGGGTAACTCAAACTTGCAATCCTCTTGCCTCAGCCTCCTAGAATGCATCACCACACCCAGCTGAAACCCTTTTGAACTAGTAATTTATATGGGCATTTCTCAAGTTTGAATCCAGTTTGTTCCTGTGAAAGCCAGCAGTTCCTTCCCTCACATTTTGAGGAAGGGACTACAAAGCCATGTATACAGGCTAAGCCTCTTAGCCCTCTATTATAATTTTATTAGCTATTTTACTGGGCCTGATGATAAATTTGGAAAAACTGACACTTAAACATTGGCCTTACTGTCCTGGAACATAAGCATTTTCATCTACGTAAACTTACAATTATTTCCGAAAACCTGTTTTTACATAAGCCCTCTGCATTTCCCAACAGATCAATCTCATTTTTTATGATTCTACTATGAAAGTCTTTTCTCCCAGTATATTCGTCGTATACATATTTGAGTGTTGATTTATGCCACTTTGTTTCTCGATCTGCCTGGTTTATTTTGATCTCAGGTGATTTTAAGACTTTTCCTTTGGGACTGTGACAGAGAGAAAATGAGAGACAAAGAGACAGAGAGAAACAGAGAGAGAAAGAGAAACACAGAGAACAAGCACCCAGGGCCTTTGCAGTGAGCTACAATCCACAGAGCTCACTAAATCCCTAAGGTACACAGGATAATCCTGACTTTGGGATCTTCCACTATAGTACTTAAGCCTTTCATAAGCTTATTTGTAACTAGAAGAACAACTAGAAATTTTAAAATTCAGATTAGTGAGAGCAGCTTTTCTTCTTTGGTTTGAATGTACATAACCATTCAGGGTTGTTAAACAGAATATGAAAAAGACTGAAGAAAAATAGAAGTCAATTTTCCTCGGAGAGGAAAAGGTAAACTTTCTAAGGTAAGGAGAAATGCTAAACAGGGTTGTATTCAGAATCAGCAGTCCTATGTATTCAGATTGCTCCTTACATTCTAGTGGCCAAAAGACAAGATATCCTCACACTGCGGACAGCAAGGGGAAAAGCGAGAGCCCAGTCCTGAATGACATCAGTCGTCAGAAGCAGCACAGAGAATCACACACCTGCAAACTTTCCATTCTGTCAAGAAACTTGTTTATGTGGTTTTTCAGTTATCTGCAACCAATCACAGCCTGGCAAATACAGTAGAAGGATATGAACTTGATTATCCCAAACCCTCTTCACTCCTGTGTCCTGTATTCTACAGACTTTCTAAATTACACCTTCAAGTAGACAATTTTCTGGAGGTTGTTCTCAGCCTCTGCTCACAAATTCTTGGCCTTTTCTCCTGTGCTAGGTCCAGTGTACATTATTTTGTTGGCCTTATCTTTGATGTTGGAAGTAAACAGGTAAAGAACATACAAATAGCAATAAAAGATAGACCAAAATGCCCCTTTTCTGAGAAAAGGCTGTGACACTGGTTTCCAGGTAAAATTTAGACAAAAATGTAGACTTTACCAACTGCAACGACAATCAAGGTGAAAAATACGTAGCCCAAGTCTGGGTCATTTCCACCATGGGAATAAAAATTAACACTCCCTGGGACCAGCTTAGCAACCAGTGGGCAAAGGAGCATGGGGAGACACGGGGCTCTGAAACCCTGCAGGAAACCCTAGAGCAGAGAAGGATGGGTGTCAGTGAGCCCTACGTCCGAAGCAGGAGAGAGCATTAGAACGCCCAGTCTAGTGGAAGCCAAGACCACACAGGCGGGCGGGGTGGGGGGAGAAGAAAACACGGACAGTGGTCTATGGGAAGACAAGCGATCACTTGGCTGTCACGCCTACAAGGTGAGGTCGTGGTGGGTGGCCCCTGCTGCGCACACCCGCTCACAGGGCCTGGGTTACAGTGAACCGTGCGCTTCTCTCCAGACCTGGGAGGCTTCTGCAGGACAAACCTCCCCGGGACTGGGAAACGCTCAGCCCCACTCACACCTCTGGCCGGCCCTCCGCTCCCAGGCACTAGCGGAACTCTTAGCCCGGCCCTCCGCACCTTTCGGTCTGCCACGCCCCTCCCAAACCTAACCTCGACCCGGGCGAACACCCGGCACCGCCCGCCGCGCCTGTAAACTCCGGCGGACTCCAGTCCCAAGTCCCGCGGGCTTCCGCCCTCTCCGCACAGAACCTGCTTAGGGTGGTGCCTAGCTCCGCCCCGTCGTGGAATTAGCGGGAACATCAGCTCCGCCCACACACTTCCCGCCCGCCCCGCCCCGGCTCCCCGCACCCGAGGTGCGCCGCCAGCGAGGCCCGCCCCCGCACTTCCGTCCTCATCCCTCCGAGCGCGAGGCCTTCAGCGGGCCCACGCCCTGCGCCAGTTCCGGCCCGCCCCTCGTCGGGCCTCCCCTTTCCTCCGCGCAGCTCTGCCCACGCGTGGTCAACCTTGGGGTAAAGCACGATTCCTTTCCGGCCTCAGTCGCTGCCCACGGAGGTGCTGGCCCCTGACAACCTAACACAGGTACCTCGCACCCGAGTCCTCCCTCCGCACCGTTGGGCAGCCGACGACACCCCGTCGCTACGGACCACTGCTTCGCCGGCCTCCCAGACGGCGCATCAAGATGGCCGCCACTGGGGGGCGCAGGGGCGTCTGGGAGTTGTAGTCCGGCTGGCGCGCTGACGCACTTCACCTCGGCTGTAGGGCGCCATTGTGCGGCACGCGCCGGTGAGTACAAGGTGGGCTGTCCCTTTCGGGGTCCTCAGGTCGGGCGTAGCTTCGGGGGTGACGTGTGTGGTGCTGGGAGGTCGGGCGTAGGCGACACGAACCGGGCGTTCTGCCGCTGGGGGCCCGCGGTGCCTCCCGCCCTGAACCCGCGCGCCATCCTTACCTCGGTTTCCCAGGATTCCGCTCGCCGCGAGGGTCGCTGAGGACGAGGACAGCATGGCCGCCAGGCTACCGAAGCCGTGGTTCTCTGTAAGTAGCGGCGTCTGCGTTCTGAGTCCTCGTCCCCGAGGTTGGCGGCGGGTGGAATTCTCCTCCTCCCTGGAGGCCCCAAGAGGGACCCCGCCTTCGGGAGGAGCTGCTGTGCTCTCCTGGGGTGGATCTACAAGGCGCGGGCGAGGACTTGTCCCAGCAGGGATCGGGCTTATGCTTAGACTTCAACATTGACTTTGGGATCAACCATGAAGTAATGTGAAGTCGCTCCGGGTGGGACACTCCTGTAATACCAGCAGGGAAGCCGAAGCAGGAAGATCGAAATAACGAGTTGAGCCTGGGCAATTTGGGGACTTAGGAGATCTTGTCGCAAAATTTTTAAAAATAAAAATTTAGAAGGGCTAGTGATGTTTCTCAGTGCGAAGGCCCTGTGTTCAATCTCCAGTACTAGGGGTAGGGGGAGTGTGTTTAGTTGAGTAACAGAGAGGTGGGGATGGATCCCCTGTAGGTGAAGGAGGTAGAAGCAAGAGGGCCAGAGGTGGGGGATGAGTGTGGTGATTTAACTCAGGGAATTCCCTAGGAAGTAGGTATGTGCACACCAAACTTAAAAGTCAGATTCCCAAATTAAGTGAACAGGTTTTCACACTCCAGAGGTCTCACGTGCCCTCCTTACTGTGACCTAAATAGGGCCAGGCTTAGGTTTTCTCAAGGTGTGAAAACAGGAGTTTAAGATGAGATAGGAAGAAGGCTCTAAGTCATCCTCGCCCCTCTTTCTGTCACCGTGGAGGAGGTTCTGCCCCGGCTGAATAGGATCCTGTGGGTTTTAGGAACCGGTGGTCTTTGAAGATATAACACTGGCTTTTACCCCGGAGGAGTGGGGAGTGCTGGACCTCAAACAGAAGTCCCTGTACAGGGAAGTGATGCTGGAGAACTACAAGAACCTGGTCTCAGTGGGTAAGGCTGGCCTCCATGCCAAAGATACGTGCTTTGCAGCACCGAGGTGGCTGCTCGGGCTCAGGCTTCAGGAGTCTGAATGGAAGGATTTAAGCTTGAGAGAGAGGGCTTTTCCTTGTACTCACTGGAAAAAGGCAGTTTCTCGGTATGCTTTCTGAAGCTTCACTGAATCTATCCCTCCAAGCTCCTGAATACTAGGGTTGGCTTATTGGGGATGTTTTCAGCTGCAGAAGTGGATGTTTTTGTTTTGTAATGGTTCCAGAGGGTGAGGTCTCATAGCTCAGATGTATACTGTGCTCATCAAAGTTCCTGATCCCTCTTGCCTTTGTGGTTTTTGTGAACCTTTCTGTTGTCAGGCTGCGCACTGCATCCCTGTTGCTCCAGTCTTTGTATCTGTGTTCAAGGCATAAACAAGGGAAAGGGACAGCCCTGTCCAGCTCTTTCACAGCTGTTATATTTAGCTAAAAAGCAGAAACTTCCCCAGATTGTCATATCTTCACCCCCAGCCACCTCTCTTCTCAAGGGAATCTAGGAATCTAGGAAATACAAAAGGTTTGGATGTGGTCTGTGTGACTGCTGTAGACCAAAATCTTTTCATGCCCTAGAAAGGAAGAAACTAGAGATAGTGTGTGTTGCACCAGGACAGCATTTTTTTTCTGAACACAGACTTCCCCAAGTACTATCTCTTTTCCCTTAAGCAGAGCATCAGCTTTCCAAGCCAGATGTGGTATCTCAGTTAGAGGAGGCAGAAGACTTCTGGCCGGTGGAGAGAGAGATTCTTCAACATACAATTCCAGGTGAGAACCAGGCACATGGGAGTTCTGCAGAGCATGGGCCAACTGGTTAAGCAGAGATTGGTGTCCTAGAAGAGATGGAGAGTGTGAGAACCAGGTGAGGTGCTGTGGGGAGACCCAAGCTCCAAGTTTTCCTCTGACCTCAGCAACATCCTGATTAGTGGAAAGTGAACCTGTTGCTAGTGGCAGGTAGTTAATGTGGGGTCCTTCACTTTTTCTACTCATCATCTACTGTTCTTTCCTTGTACAATCTTCTATAATTTTGGTGTGGTTTTTTTAGCCAGGTTATTGGGGATTTTTTGAGACAAGGTCTTAGTGTGTAGCTCAAGCTGACCTTGAACTTGTGATCTTCCTTCCTCAGCCTCTTGATTGTTTGGATTACATGTGTGAACCTCTATGCCCAGCTAGGCAGGCTTTTCTCTGATATAAGTGTGCGTGCAAATACATTTTCTAGTACTATACACAATACAGGCAGGTCCTGTGTCAGTTTTTTTAAAGGACTCCACGTTTTATTTCTCCTGTCTTCATGGATATTCAAGTTATTGTAAAGAACTTCCCTGTATACATTTTTCTGTGTGTCTAAGTTGGGCTTTTTGTAGGTTGTATTTCTAGAATTGGTAAGATTCACAAATGTGTAGGTTAAAAATCTGGTAGCAATAAGTCACTGTCTAAAAGCCTTCCTAATACAGGTCATTGCTGAAGTACACTAGCAGTCCTCTTCACCAGCAGTTTGTAATGATGTTTTTAAGGTTTGTATATCTTACAGGCGAAGAAAAATGTGTTCAGTTCAGTTCACATTTTTTTCATGACAGACAAAATGACTGATTTTTGTAAGCTCATATATTTAACCTTTCCCTTTTTATTTTCCTTTCTTGTGTGGCACTGTGGATTAAAACCAGGGCTTCCCACATTCTAGGCAAGTACTGTGCATCCCTATCCCTTTTTAAATTTATTTTAAATTTTGGGACAAGATCTTACTAAGTAGTCTAGGCTGGACTGATGTTTGTAATCCTTCTGCCTCACCTCCCTGTGTTGCTGGGATTACAGACATATACCATCATGGCCAGCTATTTCACCCTTTGATCTTATTGGGGGGCAGGGTCCTATGTATTTTAGTTGTTCGTATTGAAGTGTATATATCAGACAAATATTTTTGTGTGTTTGTTTGGTTCTTTTGGAGACAAGGTTGTGCTGTGTATTCCAGGCTGGCCTCAAATTCATGGCAGTCCTCCTGCCTCATCCTCCCAAGTGCTGGGATCACAGGTGTGTGCCCCATGTCCAGTTTTGTTGTATTTTTAAGTATAGTAGTCTCCATACAGAAGATTTTGTTTTTGTTTTTGAGGCAGCATTTTTCTAAATTGTCTAGGCTAGACTCAAACTTGCAGTCTTCATACCTCAACCTTCCAGAATGCTGATATGCTGATATTATAGGTGTGTGCCACTCTCTATGCAGAAATTTTGTAACTCAAAGTTTTTAATTTGTCTGAGATTTTCTTCAGTATATGGCATGGGGCACAGGTTCGTTCAGCATCATTTTCTGACTCAGTTCTTGTTTATTGGAAATACTATCTTTGCATGGATTAAATTTGTAGAGCACAGGCCTTCTCTGGGTTCCTTTGACCTTGTCTGTGAGGAAACCACATTGCTGTACTAATTAGAGCTTCATAATGAGTTTGGATAAATATTTATTCCACTGATAGAGTAAAAAAAACAACTCAGCTGTCATTGACCATCTAGTTCTTCAGGTAATCACGTACTTTAGCTTGTTTGGGTTAATTGAGAAAATCCTATTATAGTATGTGTTACTTTTGATTGGGCTGTGTTGTTATCTGATGTGTTACTTGATTCTGGGCCTTGCACAATTGTTCTAGATGAACTTGTCATACTGCGAAATTCTCTTTCTGTTTGTACCAGTTGCATTTCTCATTAGATTTCCTGGTATAAAGTCATTTTACCAATGTGTATAAAAGGAGAGGCAGTTATAGTTTTGTTTTGAACAGTCTTGTAGTGCAGTTGGTTTTATCACCAGTGGTATTTCCAAAACATGCTGATAGTTGTAAAGAGTGGGTATCTAGGCTGATATAAATTGGTAAGTTTCTGGGTTTTGAAGAGCATGATTCTGAATTCTGTTTTTTGGTTTTTTGGGGTTTTTTTTTTTTTTGGTACTGGGAATCAACCTCAGGACCTTGTGTTTGTCAGGCAGGCACTTATACCACTGAGCTATATCCCCTCCCAGCTGAAATCTGTTTTGTAAAGATCAGTTTTTCGTTTTGTTTTGTTTTGTTTTTTGTCTTTCTGAGACAAGGTCTCGCTATCCAATTCAGGCTGGCCTTCAGCTCACTTTGTAGCCCAGGCTGAGTTCAAACTCGCAACAATCCTCCTGTCTCAGCCTCCCAAGAGCTGGGATTACAGGCATGTGCCACCACTCCAGGCTAGTTTTTATCTCAGTGATTAAAGTCATCTAAGCCAGGCATGGTGGTGCATACCTATAATCTCAGCACTTGGGAGGCTGAGGTAGGAGGATCGTTGCTAGTTTAAGACCAGCCTGGGCTACAAAGTGAGCCCAAGGCCAGCCTGCTTAGAGAGACCCTGTCTCAAAAAAAAAGACAAAAAAAAAAAAGGTCATCTAGTTTTTCCTAATGAATGAAAACAACTAACACTCCTAGTTTACCTTCTAAATCCTTCCAAGGTAGGCCTAGGAATTTTTACCTCTGAATTGTCCTGGCTGTATAGTAGACATAGAGGTTTAGTGTAAGGTGCTGCTGGAGTCTGTTGATTTTAAGAATTTCTGTTTAAGGGCTGGGGATTTAGCTCAGTGGCATAGCGCCTGCCTGGCAAGTGCAAGGTTGTGAGTTCAATTCCCGGTACCTGAAAAAAAAAAAAAAAAAAAAACAGAAAGAAAGAAAGAATTTCTGTTTAAGTTTTACGGGATTAGGAAGGTACTGTAGTTTTCTTTTTGTGTTTGCTGTCTTCATCAAGTGTGCTGGCTACAAAGCACACTGGCTGGTTCTATGCCCTGGGCTTTGGTATAAATGGCATTGGAACCACCTGCGTCTGGTGTGTTTAGCTATAAAATTTCCACTTAGCCACCAGCGTTAATTTGCCACCACATGGATGGACTGGAGTCTCTGGATATTTGGCTCTTTTTCTGGACCCTATTTCTATTTTCTCCACATTTTAACTTGATAGTTCAGGATTATTGTTTTTTTGGGAGGCCTCCCTTTTTTGAGACAGAATCTGCCTGTGTAGTTTAGAATGACCTTAAACTCCCTGTATATCCCAGGCTGGCCTTGAACTCATAGTGATGCTCCTGTCTCAGCCTCCTGAGTGCTGGGATTACAGGTTTGCACCAACATGCCCATCTTTTCTCTTTAAATATTTCTGTTCCTTTCATTGAAAATTTTTCTGTTAGTACATTATCTCCTTATCTGCCAGAGCTCCAGTAGTACACACCCTTCTTAATCTGGTTTTTGCCCCCTGGTTTCTCCTCTTGCTCCAATCCACTTCTCCCTTTCTCCCTGGAGCCCAAATCCCATGTCCTGGCCATGCACTTTTCATGATCTAGAGTTACCTGAATCTGGCTACTGAGGAAGGAGGCACTGTAGATATCTACATTTCTCCACATTTGAAGAGAGCTAGCTTCTCAGATAAGAGGAGAAAGGATAATCCTTATACAGCCAGTATAATCCAAGTGAGGAAGTTTCTTGGGGCTGGGCCTGAGATGATGGGGGCCTGAATCATCTCAGCTCTGTCAGAGGGTCTTTCATGAGATATTTTCCTTCTCTTTCCTTACACCTCACAAATATTTATGGAGGGTTTCTGCCTTTTTCTGCAATACAGTAAACAGGTAATAAACCAAAGACCAAACATAATCCCTGGAGCCATAGGGCTTATAGTCTAGTAAATGACAGCCTATAAACAGGTTCCTCAGGTATAATGGCAAAGTGTGAGAAGCACCAAAAAGGAGGAAACATGTCGATTGAAACAGCAAGGAGCAGTCGTTGAAGGGGGTATGTTGTCACAGTGCAGGCTTGACATTTAGCTGATGTGTTCAGAAAAGAAGTCTATGGACATTAAAGAAGCTGTCTGGTGAAGAGAGCTCCCAGACATGGAGATGTCACTTGGAATGACCATGAGATAGGAAAGACCTAGATACTTTTTGGCAAACAAAATTGTCCAGTGAGTTCAGGGAAGGTACCTAGAGCATGAAGACATGGAAGTTATGTTTGGCAGAACCCCCAGGGCCTCATGAGCTATGAGGGGAGTTTGATTTCCATTCTTGAGCAAGGTGGTGATGTGGCTTTTCACAGCTCTGGCAGCTTGTGAAGAAAAAGCTTCGGAAAGGCAAAGACAAGCAGATGGGAGGCTGCATTGTCATCTAAGGGAGAAGTGCTTGAGAGAATAGTAGCAGGCTGGGGAGAAGCAGAGTTAATTTGATTCACAGGGGACTCAGTGAAGCTAGGTAAGTAACTGCCTTAGGGGAACAGAAGAAAGCTGCCAGGAATTCTCATTGGTGAGCTAAAACATTACAGGATTTCCTGTGAACTTTGTAACCTTTAAACATAAAAGTGCATTCTGTTTTTGTATATGTTTCTGTTTTGTTTTGAACATACGAGGGAGAAAAAATTACTCCTAAATTTTTGTGTTAGCCAATTACATGGAAAAGTCTGGCAAAGGCATAGAATACTTTCAAGTGCAGAAATATATGTGTGTGTTTTTTTTTTTAACATGGAAATAATTTTTAGCCAAAAGTTGCAGTAATCATGCACCTTGATTTAAGTGTTTGAAACAGCCTATGTCATTACTGGTTCTTCCCATGAAACATGCTTGAGGGGACTGTGGAGGCAAGCAAAGAGGTTTGGAGAGCTACTTGTATGCATCTCTTTAGACCTCAGAAGTGGGTTCATGGAGCACATAAAAATGCAAGAGTTTTAGAACAGCATATTTTACCATTAAATGAAACATCCACCCCTGCAGTAGCCTTTCTTCGAACACTACAGTGG